CTAAATGAAGTAAGACAAAACCAAACTCAATATCATTTGGTTTATGTGTTGCACCATAGGCATAAACTGCTAAATCAAATAATTCTTCAATTGTTTTTTCAATATTTTCTTTATTCATTTTCCATTGATTGTAATGAGATAGAACAGAATCAGTATAATTTTTAACAATTTCTTCGAGTGTTGGAACATCAGATGTATCATAACTCGGCAAACGATTATCCAAACGAATATCTTTAAAAATTTCTATAGCTGATTTTGAAGGAGATTTTGGTGGTTTTAATTTGTCAACAATATCATGAAGATAATTATAACTAACAGCAGTCATTGCTAATGCTTCAATACCTACAATTTGGCTATCTAATTCAAATGCATAACCAATATGAATAAGTGGATGTGCTAAACCGCAAATAACACCATTAATTAGTGGATGTTCTTCATTATCTCATAAAAATTCCATTAATTTTTCATGCCAATTATTTCCACTTGTTGTTAATTGTTCATGAAAAAAATCTCGATAACTTTTACAAAAATCTTTATCACCAAGATATGTTCGCCAATTGGAAAGATTTATTTCTTGAGGAGATGTTTCATATGGAACAAGTTCTTTACACATGATTTCATAAGCTTTTTCCAATTTATCATCAGTTGCACCCAACAAATAAAGTGAACCTAAATGATGTGGATTATGATTATGAAATTGAAATTCATTAAAAAGAACATTATAATTTTCAAATGAATGCAATAACAGTTTATTTAATACAGTTCGACTCATTGATAATCAAATATTGCACTTGTTTTTTTTTGTAAATGCAAGATAGATAATATTATTTTACTTAGTTTTAATATTATCTCGTGCTTGCGATAACATGCATTTATTAGACAAAGGAAGCAAAAAAGCATAGTGTTACTTTTCTCGTTCGAACTGGTTCCCTGCTTTAGTTATGATGTCATCAGTTTGCTTTCCTTAGTTTTATATGACCATGCATAAAGATCGTTATATGCTCTTTTGATTTTATTTATTGTGCTAGAGTTGATTGATACCAAGAAATGCATGGATTTCGTTATAAATATAGAATATTTGTACGTATGCGTCTTGGATGTCAAAGTACCAGATGACATTCTAACATCTTCGATTATAAAATGGTTTATTCTTTGTTAGAAATAATTTTCAATGAATTAGATTATTATACTCAATTTTTTTGCAATGAAGAATCAACTCAAAACGACCGAACTGTCCATAAATCTATTGATATTATTAAAGTTTTTGAATAAATAAGTATCGAAACAAAAAAAAATCCAAAAATGATTTTTTTTTATCATTTTTAATATGTTCAGGAATAGTACTCCTCCATATAATAAACCAGAAATAATTATAATGTACATCCATTTAATGTAGCAGCGTAACCAAGTATAGACCGAAGAGAAAATAGTAGAGACTTCAGTCTTGAAGTCTGCTATTCTTCATAGGGATAGGTTGTGCCAGGTACCACCCGAACAAAGAACAACGTAATCAGCCATTATTATTGACACTATATTCCATGATTATATGGATTTTGTTCAATTTTCAATCATATCAAACCGTTTACAAACTTGAAGTTACGGTGTTATATGAAGGAAAAAAATCACTTTGCAATTATCGTGATTAGACAATCACGAAAGAACTTTTCAGCAGTACCGCATAATAATCTTGCTTTTAATAAACTATTTTGTAGCGGTAGGAAAGCTACACAAAATACATATAGTTTGAAAAAGTGATGAACTTATTTGACATACTTAAAATTCGAAAAAAAGAACAATGATTGATTATTCATGTTAAGAAAAATATCGATCATTCAAAGATTATTCAACAGAGACCGATTTTGACATTCCATTAGGACAATGTTTCATCTGTTAATTTGTGTGCACGTGATTAATTTTTGTATAGAACATTTACTATGCCATTATATAATTACTGTTAATATTGATGCATTATTTGATCAAGAATTTTAACAAAAAAAAAAAGAAATATTAGAACTTCGTCAGAAGTTGAATAAAACGTGATCATCTTACACTTCATTGTCACCGTTAGATGATGACATCTTTACTTAAAGAAATACAAGATAAACAGGGTGTGTTGTTTTTTCTTTTGATGAATTCCTTTCAGCAAGTGGTAGCATGCAAGTAACATTCGTTTATATTAGTAATGTATTTAAAGAACTATGTAGAAATTACTTTTGTTATTTTCGAAATCAATATTGACCCAAGTGATACCACTATATTTCTTAATATCGATGATTTCGATACACTTGGTCACGGCAAAAAATGAATGGTTTTTCTTGATCAGCAGTATATTTCGCTTTGAAACAATTGAATAATAACAATAAGATCTTTCGTATCTATTTGTATGCAGTCGATCAGAAAGATACATAATAAATTCATCTCATTCTGAACATATATATTTGCTCGAAGAAAATTTCATGCAAAGGTAATTCGGTAATATTAACAATTCAGGCGATCATTTTCACAGAACGATCTATATTGAGTTAGATAATACGTATTTTCTACGAAATAATTTCACACAAACTATCAACTATCTGATGTATGGATATTTTATCTTCCTATTAACTCTATCTTGAACTGGTTCCTAACGAAACGTTTCTCATTTGCTAAAGTATCTAACTAATTGTCGATTATTAATATTCGCTAGACTCTCTATTACCTACCATGTAAAGTATAAATACGTTTGAAGAATGTATAAAAATCGTCTTAACATAATAAGCGAATTCAGTATTAATTCTTATACATGTGAGACATTATTAAACATATTTAGGGCGTGGGTGTGAGCGTGAGTGAGTGTGAGTGTTGTTTTTTTTTCGTATCCTTGGCACACGCCCATCTAACCTATACTGACACTCAATCACACCCACACCCACACCTTACAACCACATCCGCACCTCATGCTCGCTCCGTTTCGGTCTCTGATCATAACCACTCAATCTCTAAGTCAACAAGATTAATCAAGAAAAAAATAAAGAAAGAAAATTATATTGTATTATCAATTGTTTTTAAAATGTCTCTAAGTCTATTAATAATAAGAGAAATTTTAAAATGACTAAAAGCAATTAAACATTCTCTATTTTGTTCTAAATCAAAATAGATTCAATTTGTTAATTCATCATATTTTATTGGTAATTAAAAATTTAATTTTCTCTACACTGAAAGGCTAGGGTCTAGAAACCGAAATTCACCTGTGTCTGTCTGTCTGTCGGTAACGCGGTCAAAATGGCCATTTTTTTGGCACATGTGACCATTTTTTTGGCACAAACGACCATTTTTTTGGCACAAGTGACCATTTTTTTGGCACAAATGGCCATTTTTTTACTAAAATCAACTAGGTAACTATGGCACGAACGGTCATTTTTTTGGTACAAACGACCACGTAACTATGGCACAGGTGACCATATAGCAACCATGGTACAAATGACCAAATACTAATTATGGTCAAAATGGCCGTTGTAACTATGGTACAAATGACCATTTTGTTCAAATGCCCACAGTAACTATGGCACAATTGCCCATAGTAACAATGGTACAAATGGCCAAATAATAACTATGGCCAAAATCGCCATAGTGATCGTGGTAATAGTGATGATAGTAACACCATGATCAAAAAATCGACTTGGTAATTATAGTACAAATGATCATACGATAATAAAAATTTATTCTTGTTAATAATGTGATATATAAATAAACGAAATAAAATTCTTTTTTTTTGTGCAAACAGCGCCAATACATAAATAAAAATTATAAAAATACACTAATATTTATTATTTGAAAGATGAACAACGATATGAATGCAAACAAATCGCCGCATAAACGTAGTTTCTTCTTCGATACCCGAGAGGAACGATTACAACAGCTGGAGATGATCTTAAGTATGTAATGTAATCTCAGAGGATAAAAATTATGAGTAAAATTTTATTAAGTCAGTAACTTTTTCGAAAAGCTATTTGATTATCCCTTTTGATCAACTTACTGATATGCTTGAAACTTGTTACAAGTTTATGAAAAAGTATCTTTGCTGGAAGCTTAAGCTTGACATGAAGTTTTGTATAATTTCTGGCGAAACTTTTACGGAAGAATATATCGAAGAAAAAACGGATGTATCTTATGCTTATTTTGCAGCTGATTGGAAATGCATCCATTAGAGTGAGAATTCTCCAAATTAAGTTTTCTGGTCGCCAGAGATATACTGGTCATATTATCAATTTTTGCGTATTACTTTTTTAATGTAGCTTTTTATGCTGTTACATACGTACATGCATTCTATCAGTCTAGGGCTAAGTGAATCGCTTGACGATGAACGTTACTTGTTAGAATAAAATAAATTGAAAATATTATTTTTAATTTACTTGATCTTTAAATCTATCAAGTACTGTCGAAATCGATTCGACAACTTCAGTCACCGACATATTCGCTATTCACAAAATAGCTCTAAAAAAATGAGAAACAATATAGAAGGAAGAGAAGCAGACAAAAGACCAAGAGATCATCATTTCTTTTTTAATGCGAATATATAAGTAGAGATTTGCTGGAAAAAAAAGAGAACGAAAAAAGGTACTTTTTTTCAATTCTCTTCTGTTCTCTCTCTGGACATTCCTAATCGTCTTGACAACAACGTAGATAAATACAATCAAAATACAAGTAGAGTTATAAGTCGTCAGTCGATTTTTGCTGAAGTTGACGGCTAGCAGCCGGTGTTTTTGCTAGAGCCGACGGCTTGCAACTCTATGTATAAAATCACATTATTATAGAGGACTTATTTAAACAAATCATCTTATTTTTAACCAATCATAAAACTTTTGATACAAATCGGACGAATTTTTTAAAAGTAAATAATGAAGCTGTTACATATCATTTATTTCTATTGGGTTGGTAAGAAATTTTTGTCGTTTTTTTTCGTAACTTCGTAGAACAGTCAAGAAAGTTCTAGAAGTTTCCATATTAAGGGTATATAAAGGGAGTGTAAATATCTTTTGAACAACAATAAAACTATGGATATACAGGGTGTCCCAGAAGTAAGGGAACAAGAAGGGTATCCGATAAAATTGAACGAAAAATTGTTTATGATAGTTTGCGCACTTTTTATTGATGTAGAGAGCTGAAATTTTTATCACACCTGTATCTAGCCAAGATCTTTTATTTCTGAAAATAAAATCTTTATTTGAATGATGTTTTTTGGGTACTGCTGCATTTGAGAAAATAGTTCTTATCTCACTTGCTAATAATGGTTTAGTAGTACTAACAAATAATTTTCTTCAAGAGTTGATTTCTGTCAAAAATTAAATAATGATTTAACTATTTCTGTATTTTTTTTCTTTTGTATCTGACAGAGAAGTAAACACAATTGACCACAATAATTTTTCGAGTGATACGTAATTTATTTTAACTGTGGGCAAGTATCTTCATTATTATTTTATTTAAAATCGTTTTTTGTTTGATTTATTCTTTTTAGATCTACTTATTTAATAGTCTTCCCAATTTATTATGTAATGTTTATCGAATCGTTTCAAAGTGTAAGTCCATCAGATTGGAATTTTATTTGATGATAAACGAAGATCAACTTATTTGCTTTTATTTCTTATTCATCATCAATCAGTGGTGGTGGTCATAATAAAATGTTACCTATATGAAAAATTCTTATTCCAGTCATTGATCTTATAACAAGATGTTATATATGTGAAAAATTTTTATATAAAATTATATTACCAACATTAAATGCAATTCAAGTAG